CACACACACACACACACACACACACACACACACACACAGAGACACACACACACACACAGACAGACATATAAAAAGGGGTGAGTGTGTATAATTACAGGCAAATTGGTTGACGATCTATAAGGGGAGGGCCAAGGACCCCTGTTTCACAGGGCAGTGTGAAGTGCTGGGTTTTGTCCTACGTCAGCTCTTAATTGCTTTGCTGAAGCGATTATTACTGTAGCACAGGGTGCTCTGGGTGTCCATCAGTCACTATCAGAGCGGTGACCCAAACACCTGTCGCTGCTCTCGACCTCTAACCGAGTGGACTCCCCCGGCCTGGGGTTAAGCAAACAAGACATGAAAATGCTACCAAATGTTTTGCCAAACGTCAGTAACGGGTGCTTTGTTGAAGGTTGACACCGAGCAAACCACAAGACGTACGAACCAGACCATAAAACCAGGCCACAAAACAGGGCCAACGATAGCACCGTTAAAACAGCCTCATATTGATGGATCCATTAGCAGGAATAGAAAAGGTATGAAGCATGGAACAGTGTGAGGGTCCAACGATCTCTACACAGAAGGGCAGTGGGCTAATGGGTGAGCTGGAAATATTCTCCAGCAGAACACACACACGCATACATCCAATCAACGCGGATCAAAGACTTTATAATTGTGCTCTTCATTCTAGAATCTTTTCACTCACAATGGCCTAAAGGCTAAATTACCACATTTTGGCCTCCTGAGCCAGACATATCTAGTTTCTCCGCAGAAGACCAACATAAAGAACAAAATCGCTCTTCCAGCATTGCTGATCCCTGTCTTTTTTGACAGGAAACCCACTGACAATCAAAGTGAACATTTCCCAACACAGATCGTAAATTAAACACACGAAATCCCCTCTGCTGCCTTCACACGACAGTACATCCAGTGCACATGCTGGGCACACTCACCTTTCCGGGGTCATCTTTAGAGCGAGGCACTTTGAGGAAACACTTGTTCAGTGACAGATTGTGCCGAATTGAGTTCTGTGGGGAGAAAGAGAATGAGTGAGAGATGGAGGGAGGGAGGTAGGGAGGTATAGAGCAGCGAAGAAATGCACAACCGATGTGGGGGGGGGGTCTCCACAAAACAACTTCCACAGAGCAGTATTTCCCCACCCACAGTATACATTTTTGCTGGGAGATGGGAGGGAGCAAATACGTGGACAGTCTGGGGGACCCTGAGGACCCAACAGAGAGGTAATGAACAGGCGATACAGTGTTCAATGCAGAATTCATGACTGAGCAAACGGATCAGAATGGCGTCGGTATTTCAGGAGATTCACACCCAGTGAGAATAAAGGAGCCAATTTCCAAAGAGTCTCCCCCCCCCCCCCCCCCCCCCCC